GTTATCTATATAGTTAATTTTATCTACAAACAATCAGTTATACTTGTTATATTCACAAATAGTTCACTATTATTTATATAGTTAAATAGTTCACTATATCAAACATGTAGTGAATTATATTAAAATAAAATTCACTATTTTTTAATTTAAATATTGAAATAGTTCACTATTTATGTCTATAGTATTTAATATGTGATATAGTTCACTATATTGTTTATCTATTTAAGCAATAATTAATTATTGTTAAAATCAAATAAATATGGTTTTTTGAAAAACCGTAAAATGCAGAAAAATACTTTTATTTATGTCAAGTTAAAGTTTATACCTAGAAAAATAATAATTATTTCTTTTTTTATTACAAAACAAATTTGCATTAAATATGCATTAAATGTGATAATTTTCATTGAATTTAATAAAGGGTAAAATAGTCTCATTTTGTTTCTCTTTGTTAGTTAACAAATTTACAATCTCCACATGTTACTTAACTAATTTACATGCTCAAACATGTTATTTCACAAATTAACCGTTTTTTATTCTCAGAGACGATTTAAAATATCTATATTTACAGTATTATCATTTCTTTTTGCTTCATATAACTTAAAAATACACACATCAAACTTCGCAAAGCGACCCAATAAAACGCGCATCAAAACTAAAGTTGAACACTGAATCAAATGTAAACCCAAATATCTGAATCGAGTCTGGGCTTAATACTGGATTGGGCCAACACAGGGAAAAAATCAGGTGAATTACTACTTTCTCTCACGAGAACCATGTGAAAGTGCCATAAGAATGGCAATATGCCAATGTGGAACTAGTTAGGTAAGAATATTCATGCATTTGGAACTACTACTTATACTATATAGTATTAAAGTAATTGGCGTCTATAATGTATTACATTGTTTCGATTCTTTTAATTTTGACTCAATTTTTTCAATCTAAATTGCTAAATTGTTATTACTAATATCATGGCAATGTCACTTCTATATGGTCATAATACTTTGAAGATTTGGTGTTTTCTAATGTAAGTGGTTGTTGTGCTCCAACGAGTTAATTTTAACGTCACC